AAGACAGATCCCCCATCCCCCAGCTTGTCTATGATTAAGCATTTATGTTTACTTTATTGATCTATGTTTGTGTATGTGTTAAAGAATAGATCCAAATTTAACGTCCTAATAAGGCAACTGCCTGGGTCTGAGCCAGCAAAGCAGATCTTTATGACTTTACATCTTTCGCTAGATGGAAAAAATAATACTTGGAATCTCCAGCAAAACTTCCCTTTGCTCACTTGCCTGTCAAAGGGGAAGGGCCCCTGAATGTCTGCACTGAAATGTCAAGCCAGGGACTGCTTTTTTTTTTCTTTTAAACTCCTGGGTCTGAGCCAAGTAGCCCTACGGTCTGATTTTCAACCCCGGAGAGCTGAAGGCAGGTCTCACTAAGTTTCGGCTGTTCTTTTTGCTTTAAATCTTATTCAGTCAAATCCAAAGGCTTGATCTAAAAATAATCCTTGAGAAGGAACGAAGAATGGATTCAGGGCAAGAGACAATGTCATATAGGAGACTTCAGCCTAGTGGGACCGTCCTGACTTAGGAATTTCTCTGGCTTTCAAGAGCTAAGAGCCATTCCCACTACCCTGAAGGAATCTAGAAGTTGCTAGGTTAGAAGCAACCAGGATCCTGGGGACCTACTTCCCAAGGAACTTGGGCAAGAACTTCTTTGGGATCTTGCTGTGTGAGTCAAGGAGGGCGTCTGTCGGTCCCCTCCAGGTAGTATCTTCACCAGCTGCTGCAGAAATGGCTCATCTTTTACCCTGCGGACTTTACAGAGCAAGGAGATGAACTCTGTGGAGTTCCTGGGCTGGCCTGACCTTGGACCACAGTAACTCTTTCTAGGTCACCACTGAGAGTCACCTCTGGGTGTGGCGCTTAAATGAGCCTGGAAAGATACAGACCCAGTACCCAGCAATCAGAAAGAGAAACATCCAAGCGGAGGCCACTAGAAAGGGTTTCCACGTAAGTCAGTGGTCCAGGCATTGCCTTTCCTCCTCAGAGCCTCTCAGATCTCTCTGCAAAGGTGAGGCTTTTATCTTTCAAATTATTCTTACTCTGAAGAAACAAGCCTAGGAAAACCAGGGAAGAGCACCCAAAACGTGGTGCAGGCTGCATCTTTCCTCAGAAGCTGAAAAGATGTGTCTAAATCCCCCAAGTCTTTCCCTTCTGAGCCCCAAAGCTCTTCTGTCACCAGCGGCCTCTCAGGGTTTGTATGACACTTGTAGCATTAGCGAAGGCCAAGAAAGACTCTCCATGAGGACAGCAAGCTGGTAAGGAGCCAAAGACAGACTCTAGAAGACGGGTGCCCTAAAAGGCTTTTTTTTTTTCTTCACAGTGTTGCAAGGTGAGTAGTAATAATAGTAATTATATACTTGAATGACATTTTTCCTTCTTTTAACATGGCCATCATGGGCAGAGGAATTCAACATGTAGGACACACTACTTAGAACGTGTGTGTGTGTAGTAAATGGTCTGTTCTGAAGAATACATCAGCTAAAGACAGAATACTGAGGGCAGCATCTGTCACGAAGTGAGCACAAATAATAGCCATTAGTTCCCTTTCCTCTTCCCACTCAAGATAAAATCAGCTCTCAGATATGACAGAGGATCCTCTGAAAACCATGGCGACACCAATGGGCCCCAGGGTTTGTCACAAGAGACATGTATTCTCCCACAGATTTGTGATTTTTTTTTTTCTGGAGACACGACAATAGAAAAGGCGACTGTGGAAATCAAAGGCGTCTTCCCCATTAGAGGAAGGCACTTCTTTGTCTATAAAAGTGATCCACAGACCTTACTCAAGGAATCCCAAGCTCAGAGCAATGGCAGAGGGCTCACCCAGCTTGGAAGAGGCACACTGGGGTCTGCCGACCACCCATGACATACTGAAGGCCCTCTTCCAAATGTCTTTTCATTTTGCCTTTAAAACACATATTCCCTATCCACTGACCATGCCTTGTTCTTCTACTGGAGTTTTAAGCCACTTAACAAAGAGATCAACTTCTAAAAAGGAGTAATGCTTCACAGCTCAGAGACAACTTTCTGGTAGAAAAAGCAAGGAAGGCAGAGCTTATGTAAAATTACAGAGTACAATGTGATGCCGCCCCCACCTCTTGCTTTTGAGAGAAGCCTAAGGGAGATGATTTCGATATCCATTGTTATATCTATTATAATGAAAATATCTGGATTTTAAAGTCTAGACTCTTTGTACTTTCCAGGATTAAGAAAGTGATATTCCCTCTTATTGCAAAACAAACATGTTTAATGAAGTGTCTTTTCTTGGGACCAGCAGAGATGGAGCAACTTTTAAATTCTCACCCAGCATCTAAACAGGACTTATCACTCTGCCAACCGGCACTATAGGTGAGTGAGGTATTCAGGAGAGGTACACTCTCTCTTAGCAGGGCTACAGGACCACTCCTGCTGGAACAGAAAAAAAAGATGGTGATGAGGGTGGGCAGAGGACGAAGTTGCAACTCAAGTGTCAGAGGCCATCCACCTGGGAGCTAGGGGTGAGGCTTACCATCCTGGGCTGCCATCTCTCTAGCATGGTCACTTGGTGCTTGGGTACACCCACAACACAGAGAACCTTTATGCCTCACAGTGGAGGAACAGACAAGCGCCAGGGGGCTGGGAACCAAGGCAATTCCTGGGCCACGCATTTCTTACTTGAGTCACCCCAGGCACAGCAGACAGGAGAGCCCTGCCACTGTGTGGCTGTTTCTGGGGGCTGACCTAGTTTTCTCATTTCTGGACTTTGTCCCTTCTTTGTCCCTAAATAGACCATAATGTCACTCTATGCTCCCACTTACGCCTGAGGCTAGGAGGCCTCGTGGAGGTAAAAGCGTCTTTTGAGTCTGTCTGCCAGCAAGAAACACATACTCAATTATGAGAGCGGTACTCCGTGATCCTGAATCTCTGCCAAGCAAAAGAAAGCTGGGCACACACGGCTGAGCCTTTACAACTCTATGGCTTGGAGGACACGAGGCGTGTGTAACCTAGCTGCAAATCTCGCCAGCAGACCCGCTCCACCCCCTGGCCACTAGACCAAATGCCCTAGCTAGCACAGAGCCCTTCCAAAGGCTCTTCAAAACAGCTTCCTGTCCATTTTCAACAGTTTTCTTCCTGCACCCACCAGGCCAATTCCTTCCCTCCCCCCTTCCTTCCAACTGCCAAGTCCTACAGACATGACAACTAGCAAGATGTACCAGCAGATATACTGGATAATTCTTCCCATTATGTCCTGATGTGGGGGGTGGAGTGGCTATTTTTAACTGAGATCCTTCCAGAAGGTATAGAAAAATAAAGTACAAACACAAATCACTTGACAATTTTATGATTCAAACCAACAAATGGAAAACAGACAGTTTTGAGTGTTGCTAACATAGTTAAGCCATTTCATGCCAACCCACTCAACCATCCCATTTCTTGGACCTATTTCTAGAGGTACCAAATGTGTCTGAAGATGAAATCACTTCTGTACAGTGAGGAGGTATCCAGTGTGAAACACAGGAGACAGAACTGTGACAACCGCTGCTTCCTAAACAGCACTTAGGGTTTTATTAACACTCGAAAGTCAGGTTCCCAAGAGATATGGGTAACATCCAAAAATGCTAAACGTGACTGAGGCAAAGGACACGGGTGTTTCATCTCCGGGTCGAGGGTGTTGACGTTCTGGGAAGACACTGTCTTAGACACCGAGTAGAGGAGTCACGTGGAAGACGTTACCATTCGTCTCGTTCTTGCACGGTAAGAACATGAGAATCCGGAAAAGGCCATCCACAGAACAGCGAACAAAGTCTCCAGTGAACAAGCTGAGGTGGGGCTTAGCAGTTCATTTACAGTTGAGGAAAACTATTTTCGTCCTTTGGCCAAAACCGTACAAGGGGAGGGAACTTAAAACCCTAGACTACTTGACTCTCCCTGCATTTTTCTGCTTGAAGCTGGATAAAAAAGCCTTAGCTTCTGGCTGCAACTCTATTTATGTAACAACCACAGCTGCTCCCCAAAATAGCCACTGCTGGCTGCAAGAATTACGGATTTTGTTGCTTACACTCGGGTCCATTTCCCATAGCACTCGGCTGCATTTTCTCTCCCTCACTTTTGTTGCCCTGGGTCTAACAGGAGATCTTGACATTCTGTGGACAGATTTAAAAGTCAAGGCTCATTTCAGCAAGAACCAATTTAGCTCCTGATTCTATTCTGCGGCGGACACCTTCTGACAGCTGGGAACATCGTAACTGTCCCTCTGGTAACTATTCCACCTTCCAAAGGTGGCAGTGTGGCTGATAGTGAGGCCCTGAAACTCACAACCCTCAAAGTGAAAAACACAGCATTCCTGTGTGTGTGTGTGTGTGTGTGTGTGTGTGTGGAGGAAAAACCCAACCCTGGACTGCTGGCATGGTGGCATGGCATTGAATAGGGTGCCCTCCCCTGAAAGTAACAAAGAGAACCCTCATCAAAGCTATCAAACATGATAAAAAAATACAAAAGTTATTTTCTCCTTTTGATTGCTATTTACTTGTGACAATATTTGTTAAAAATATTACTTCTGTCTTTGAGAAGAGACCATTCTCTTCATATAGTATGGAAAAATAAACTCTACTGAACACGTAGTCAATACTCCCCACCACCAGGGACTTTCGGCTTCCACATCTCCAAATGGCATGACCGGGCGACTGTCCTGTTTTCCTTTAGGCAGACACCTTTCACCCATACTACTGGTGCTGGAAACACAATGGAAGGACGTGGCAAGGCTCACAGAGCATTTTGAAGGGGGGAGAGTTAGAAAACCTACTAAAACCAAAAGTCACGGTGGTTTCCAGCCCTAAGAAGTCACAGGGTTGTCCCCTCATCTCTTCTGAGCACTCAAAGCCCTTCCAAACCAGGCAGCTGTCAACAGAAGGGTGGGGATCCATTCATCAGTGTCACTATGAAGGAACACTTAACTTCCACACTTAGGGTCATCTTAAAAGGGGAGATTTTAACCTGGATGAATGGGAGAAGACAAGGATACATAAAAACAGTAAAATGTTTATTTCTTAGAAAAAAAAGTGAGGAGGAGGGATTCAAAATGATTGTGGTCACACTTCCATTTGCATCTGAGCAAAGCCAATGCTACAAGCTTCATCCTGCACTAAGAGTCCTAGTAAGTGGCACGCCCTGCTGCTCACTCCGGTGTCACTTCCAGGAGTCAGGTCACAACATGCTCTTAACCAACCGTGGCTCTTCAACTTTGGAGCAGTGAAACAAGGCTCCCCATGGCCACCATCCCATCTCCAAACACCCACATTAACCAGTGAGAAGCAAGGCTCAGGCCATCTCTGGACCACTTGGAAGAGATGGATAAGGAGGAAAGAGGGGAAGAGAAGCTTGACCTCAAAGCAGAACCAGGCTAGGACTGAAGTCTGTATCAGAGTTCATCACTACATCTTATAGAAAATAGGCAGGAGAGCATCAGAAAACCAATAGTATCTTTAAGGTGAACTGCAGAATTTTGCTGCATACTTGGACACGAGAGAAGTGAAAAGTTGCAACAAGTTTTAACTAGCAGCAACAAAGAAAGTTCCAGAACAGTTTTTTTTGTATGTGTATGTTTGTGTTTAGCAATATTCCTTTGCAGATTCATTAAGAAACACTGTAATTTAATGGGGCATACGATATGGAACAGTCTTCGTTTGCTATAGTGCTGTTCAGTGAAGAGAACCGACCTTTGCAAAGGTTTCAACTGGGGTGTAACCTATTTACACAGTAGTAGCTCCTGGTCCGAGTGGGAGAACCGATGCTATGTAATATCCTCTTCTTCAGAACAGTAATCCCGACCCTGGCAGGAGAAAAGAAAAAGGACACGTGAATCAAAGACTCCAACCAGGGGCTGAAACAGTGACTGGTGGACCGTTTTCTTCCAGCTCCAGTCTGCTTTGTGATGGAATTCAGGCTTCATGGGTGACCTCTGGGTGCAGAACGATGGATTCATCACAAACCCACGCTGGCCGATTTTTAAGGTCCGTTTATCTCAAGGCGTGATATACCAAGCCCATAATAAGCTCTTTTAAAATGCTGGCCAGGATTTATGTCGACTTACATTACAGGTGCACACGAAATGTGGCTTACACAAAGAAGTTAAGGAGATGAAGCAGCTAGGAGTCTTCTCTCTCATCAGGAAGACTCAACAGTCACTTTCTGCTGCTCACACTCTATAGCTCCACACTTAGTACTTACAAATGCCAAAGGAGGGGAAAGTGTAATCAAAGGATGCCCAAGTTTTAACTCACTCTAAGGCGGTTTAAGGGAACAGCAAACACAGATTTTTACGAACATGTGTGACAGATCTGGGGCTGTGCCTGGTCCTCATGAATGACTCCAAGGACAAGAGGCTTTTGATGTGCCTGCCAGCAAGCAGGGAATGGCTGCTTCTGAGCATCTTGTATCCCTTGCCACTACCGAGACACAGCTGGGACCGGGATTGAGGTTCCATAACCGACCTGGCTGGGTTGCCTTGATCATCGTATGTAGCTCTCGGAGGGCAAGTCTCCAGAGAGGCACAGGACAGAACCGCTTTCTTGCCTGTCCCAGTGTCACAGGCCTGGCTTTTGTGAAGGACAAGCTGGATTATTTTGTTTGTGCCCTTCACTGAGTTTTCTTTTCAAATACAAACTAGACGCTCTACATTTGGGGACAAACGCTCTTTTAAAAACAGAAATTTTGGCCCTATGACATATAAAAATAAGAACTTTAAACAATTTAACCACAAGTCGTGTACGACAATGGATGCTCCTATAGTTTATCTTACTCAGATAAGCAAGCCATTTATCCCACACTGTTTTTTTTGTTAACTGTTTTACAGTACATTTACTTCAGGCAAGTTCAACTTAGAAATCTCATTTTTGTAGTTGATAGCATGAAGTATTGGTAGCAAACAATTCTGTTTACTGTGTATATACTCCTTTGATTTCAGGCTGAATTTTTACTAATATAAGTCATATTACATTAAAAACCCAGAATTTTTGGTTATTGAAGGTACTTTTCTAATCCCTTAGCCCACCACTACTTCCTGCATATTCAGTGAACTGGTTTTCTTTCAAACAAACCCAGAATTTTCTAAGTCACTGCAATGCTTTCTTTTATTGTCTATTTTTGTTGTTGTTGTTGTTGTTCATTTTTCAAGATAAGGTTTCTCTGTGTAGCTTTGGAGCCTGTCCTGGAACTCGCTCTGTAGACCAGGCTGGCCTCAAACTCATAGAGATCTGTCTGCTTCTCTCTCTTGAGTGCTGGGATTAAAGGTGTGCACCACCACTGCCTGGCTGGAATGCATTCTTAAAAGCACCAATGCTTATATATATATATATATATATATATATATATATATATATATATTTAATACAGCTATTCCTTAGATATATAACACGCTTGCATATTTCTTTGTTATATTATATATCTGCAAATTGGAAATATTTCACATTTCCCTAATGCTTAAGTGTCACTATAACGAATTATTACACCCGTCTGGATGCTAATCCCAGCTGTATTTCTTACTAATTTTGGTATCTTGTTCAAGTTACCTCTTTGAGTCTCAGTTTTCTTATCGGTGAAATAAAAACAGTGACAGTTAACTGGCATGACTATTCAAAAGTTAGAATTAACAGTGTCTAAACGGCAACTGGTAAATGAATTTGTTCATGGTGTGCACGCAGATGTATTCAAGTGTGTTCCACATACAACAACAAAACAAACAAACAAGCAAACACACACACATGCACTGCCATGCAATGAAGCCCTGGGATCGGCAGAAGGAAGAATGGTCACACAATCCTTGCCACACAGCCCCAGACTGCTTGTTCTGTCCGAATGAGCTACTTCATAGCCTGATTCAGTTTCTTCCACCATCAGAAAACAGCCCAGTGTGCCCTGCAGAACGGAAGTCCAATGACAGAGAAAATGGGTAACCAGTGCTCCCAAGAAGAGCGTGCAGGTAGCAGTCACCCCCATGACCGCCTTCCCGGTGACATGGCTCAGGCTGACACCATCCCTAGCTTTCTTTCTTTCTTTCTTTCTTTTTTTTTTTTTTTTTTTGATTTTTCGAGACAGGGTTTCTCCGTAGCTTTTGGTTCCCATCCCTAGCTTTATTCTGGACCAGGCAGGAGTCACTCTCTCTGTCGTCAGCTGGAGAGTTATAAAGGAGATTCCCCGCCCCCACCCTACAAGGTTCCTGACCATTGGGAGTTTCTTCTCCAGCATGGGAAACAGGATTTACAATCTAGCAGCACAAGGTCACAAGCATCACGTGATATTCTCCACGTGGCTTTAACTTGGGAGGCTCAGACTGGACTTGCAGATGGATGCCGGATAAGCAGCTGGGCAGGATAGGCTGGAGTCAGAGTTTTCATGGAGATTTTATCAGCATTGAAAAGTGTTCCTAGGTAGAACAACAGGCTTTGGTTTCTTGGGCATAGTCACTTTCTCTATCCAGTAGGGCGGTGATCAGGGATATGTTCAGAAAAAGATCCCATTCTGTTAGTCAATAAATGCTAGCTGTTACCACTTCCGTTGTCATTGTCATTATAAACACTGGGCTTGTTCAGGCTTCTGACAGGAGTGAAAAGCTTCATTTGTGAGTGAGGGCAGTGGTGGTAAGGCGAGACCCGACAGGAGCCAGAGAGCATCCCTCTGTCCTCAGCAGTGTATCCCAGGCAGATCTGAATCCTGAGGTACATAAAGATAAGTTCTATGGCTAAAATTAAAGTCCCTTCCCATCTGATGTCAAAGTAAGGCCTCACATCTAAGGAAACACACACACACACACACACACACACACACACACTAAATAGACACACATTAAAAACAAAACAACAAAACCTACAGGACCATTTCCGAGGCTCCAGGTTTACTGCCAGCACACACAGGCCCTCTATCACACCGCTTGACAGACAAAGCTGAATAAACCCTGTCTAAGCCAGACTCTGAAACTTTCATTTCCCGAGAATTTGTTCCCCTAAATTTTTCTAATTAGTATGAGAGGAGGAAAAACCCACACGAGCTGCTTTGCAGACATTATTTCATTTATTATTCATATCAGCCCTGTAGGGTAGGAATGGAGCAAACCTCAGCGAAGCCCAAGATCCCCGAGCTAATCTCCGCCTCTCCTGGGCACTCTTCTCCTCTGTTTCATTTTTCTTATCACCTGACAGCAGCTCAGAGGACAAAACACTTTGGGAACAAAGATTTCTGAGATCAGAACATCCCGCAGCTAAGAGGTACCACATGGCATGCAGTCCTAAGCGACCCAGAATCCTGCCGGGAGGGCTCCAATCCCAAGACCCCGTGAGAGCCCCTCATTGGCACACTGTCCTACTGGGCAGGCCAGGGAACCAGTTTCTGCTGAATAGGACTTCAGGTCTCATTTCAATTGTTAAAGAACTTTTAAAAACAGAATCATCCAACTTTCAGCTGTCAGGGAGGCAGGAAGTAGGATTGAGGAGGCTGGGAGGCACACAGTAAGTCTCTTAGCCAAAGTATGGCCCTCCACTCCCATACAGGGACCCAAAGCGAACGCCTTTGTAAAGTCCCTTTATGCAATTGTATGCTAGTCACAATTCCAGCCTTGTACAAAGTACCCACCAAAACCTTCCCAGGAGGCCCCGGCACATTACAAGAACGGAAACTCTAAATGATGCTGACAAGGGAAGATTATTTGGAAGAGCCACAGGGGTAACTGGGTACAGACTCAATGACAAGAAGAGCTGGGTCTGGCAGCACAGCCCTGTATGGAGGCTGAGGCAGGAGGTTTCCAAGACCAGTCTGGGCAACTTAACAAAACCCTGCACCCAAACAAACAACAACAAAGAGGGGGTACAGCTTAGTGATAACGTGTCTACCTAGCATGTGTCAGCCCATGCACCCCAAAACAAAACAAAAACAAAACAGTGCAGCCATGTCCTGCCTTCCTGCCACCCACAGAGCAGGTATGCTCTGGGCCTCTAGACCCTGGGGATGCTGCTGCAGTCTGATGGCAACCTTCGCTCCATTTCCTGAGTCTAACCTGCTTCTATATACCTTAAGTCTCCTTTGATTCTAAATCAATTTCCTCCTCATCTTCCCCTTCCTCCTTCCTTCTTTCTCCTCCTCCCTCCCTTTCTCTTCTCTTATTCTACCCCCTTTTAAAAACACATCCAAAACAAGCTAATGCCAAGAATCCCAAAGCCCAAATACAGTTATGTCATGTCCCAGAAATACAGCTTAAGCTGCATGGAAATTACGTAACTGATAGTGTACTAAATCTTAAAAATTGATCAGAGCATAACATTGAACTTTTCTTAATTTGAGGACACGTTAAAAAGTTAGATACCTGTTGTGTTTGTGTGTGTGTGTGTGTGTGTATGTATTTATGTATTTAAACATGTTAAAAACAAACTTTTCAGTGTAGGAGTTAAAACATAGAGAAAAATATACAAGCAACTTCAAGCAGAGGAGATAGCTCAGTCTGTAAAGCTCCCATCTTGCAAGCAGGGGGACATAGATTCAACCCCCAGAATCCATGTAAAACCTGGGGCTGCAGACACGGCTCAGAGGCTAATGTTCTTGCTGCATAAATGTGAGGACTGGAGTTTGGATCTCCAGAATTCACGTAAGAAGCTGGGAAGACAATGGCCACCTGCGACCCCAGCGTTCAGGAGACAGGCATGGGGGCTCTGGAGCAAGCATGCTGGCCAGATTAGCCAACTGGGCAAGCTCCAGATTCAGAGACACTCCGTCTTAATAGCCAATGTAGAAAATGACCAAGAAAGACACTGACGTCAGCCTCAAGCCTCCACACGTGTGTGCACA